GTTAGCAAACATGTCACTATAATTAAGTTCTTTCCATCGATACATTTTCTGCAAACATAACGATCGACATGCTTGTTTGCTTCGCGAACATGTCACTATAATTAAGTTCTTTCCATCGATACATTTTCTGCAAACATAACGATCGACATGCTTGTTTGCTTCGCGGCCCCTTTAAATAAAGTTTTAAAAAAGACCAAGCATTCGATCTACGTCAGAGCATCAGAGCGTCCACGAATCTTTCCACGGCGTCGCTGACAGGGCGGCGAGAGCGAATTTTGCCGCTCTCGCCGGCGGCGGTGTGAACGTACGGTAACTGTTGAACTAAGCCCTTTCTCTGCATTCCATTGGTTCTTGTTTTTAAGTACCCAATTAATTACCATGAAACTCTTTGAATGCATTTATTTGAGTAATGGAAAGTTCGAGGTTGGTGTTTTTACTCTTATAATTCATCACCCCGAGGTTTCCAATAGTTCCATCGTTAGGATTGACCCTCGTTGACCCTGCTGTCAGTTGCGGTCTGTATATTACCCACTGACAGGGCTGCTGGTCCTAACACTATCAATGTAGAGACTGTTTAGACAAGATGCAGACATTCATGGCTGACCCCTCACTGAGGCATATCGGTCCTCCAGACTCCCACACTCTCACTGGGATTCTGGAGGTACCAGATAACAGGAGCTCAACACACTCATCTTAAAGACTGGGATCTCTTGCTTATCGTGGCTGATCAAATTGATTGAAAAATACAGTAAAAACAAAAAATATTGTGAAATATTATTACAATTTTAAATAACTGTTTTCTGTTTTAATATATTTTAATTTATTCCTGTGATGATAAAGCTGAATTTTCAGCATCATTATTCCAGTCTTTAGTGTCACACGATCCTTCTGAAATCATTCTAATATGCTGATTTGGTGCTTATCTATTATGAATTATTATTAGTGCTCAATTACCAATAATGGTTATTCTTCTTCTTATTATCAATATTGAAAATATTGACAGTTTTTTATACTTAATATTTTTGCTATTCATATTTTGAATAGAAAGTTCAAAAGCTAAAAATTTTAAAGCATCTTTGCTGAACAAAAGTATACATTTCTTTAAAAAACAACAACAAAAAACATACTTACCCGAAACTTTTAAATGGTAATAATGTATCACTTTTCCACAAAAATATTGAGCAGCAAAAACTGTTTCAACGATGATCAGCAAATTAAGAATGATTTCTGAAGGATCATGTGACTGCTGAAAATTCAACTTTGCCATTACAGGAAAAAATTAAACAGAACATTATCTAGACAGATATGTTAAATTGTAATAATATTTCACAATAATACTACTTTTACTGAATTTTTGATCAATTAAATACAGCATGGATGTCTTTCAAAAACATAAAACATTTTTAATATTCCTTTGACCGCTAGTGTAACTAGTTTAACAGTCAGCTTCTTAGATAAAAGTTAGTGAAAACCAATCCAATACAGTTTATCCAGATTTCTTTGTCTGAAAGTAAAAATATTATCAAAATCTTTCATTTGAAGGGCCAAGTTATATTTTAAGGGGATTAATAAAGTTGTAAACTGTTCCTAAATTGCCTCTTGGGGATTAATACAGTTGTATTATATTGTATTGTACTAATTGATCTGAATACTAGGTCCCCCCCAAAGACAAAAAAGCTGCATGTGCAAGACCTTCTTGGGCCCCAAGCCCCCTCTCCCCATGATAGTGTCCTATTCAGGGGTAATTAACAGGCCCAGTAGGAGGGGGAGGGGTAAGATGGGGTTGGTGGGCAACTAACCCCCTCTATTGAGGTGAGGAGAGGGACTGTGAATATAAAAATGTGCACAATGAATGAAAGACAGACAGAAGAAAAAGAGAAGGAGTCTGAACAGAGGCCGAACAAGGTCAGCGGACATTTGTGTGCCTGACTCAAACGCATTCCTCATGACACACACTATCAGACGTCATTATGGCGTACTAATAGAACTGTATCAAGGTTTTTGAGGACTGCATACTCAAAGTGTGAGGTATCAAAGGTGAAGTTGCAAACACTCAATAATGATGAGGTGAAATATGAGCTCATCTGTTGGAGAGTGTCTTTTTTTTTGTTGCTAAGAAAAGTATCCGTGTGATGAAATGAAGGATTTGTGGGTGGAGAGGGGAGGCCGGGTTAGAGGTTGGATTAGAGAAGGGAGTTGAAGACCGTGGCGGTGCCAGTTGCAGACGTTATACATAATAAGGAGATCTGAAAAGGAGGGGGAGAATGACAGAGGGGGGCCATCTTTGCAATCTCAAGATACACAAGCGTATCTCTCACTCTCTCTTTACCTTACACAGTTCTCTTATAAAGCATTCCGACACTCCCACGTTAAGCAGGGAATTACACTACTTCTTGGTGCCATACTAAGAACCCATGAAATCAAAATTGGAGTTTTGTGGCTTTTAGTCAATGAATAGATACTAATAGTTCGAGGAAATTCGGGCCCATTAATGCTAGTGTGTAAAATTAAAGATTTAGCTGATACATACACTATACTATGTATTTTTGGTAGACTTGTGACTCATCTTGCACTGATGGTAGAGCCGCATGATTCTGGATAAATTTCACGTTTCACGTTTTTTTTTTTTTTTTTAAACAGAGATCAAGATTCTGAACAGACAACTTAACAAAATAACATTTAATTTACTCGAGGTTCTGACACAATGTTAATTGCTGCAGTCTATTTAAATTAAAATGTTTAAATAATCTGAATTTAAATTGTTTGAACGAATGATTCAATAACTCACTCATACAGACTTAACTTGTTTCATTACTGGATGAATCAGTGTTTTTTTTTAAATAATTTCTTTTCTTTTCAATTTAATTCAATTCACATTTATTTGTATAGCACTTTTCACAATACACATCGTTCCAAAGCAGCTTTACAGAAAATGGATGAGTCCACATTACAATGATCTGTTATCAGAGGTAACTGTATTTCAGAAATGTACATACAAAATCAGATAGCTAAAATAATTAATAATTTCTATTGAATTATTAAAAATAATCTCTTGAATGAATGATTCAATGACAAATACATTTTTTTAACAGTCACTTGTTGCCACCTACTGGTGTAACGATGTAATCGATACAGTCGTAATTTGAAGCGCCATGTTTCTTTGCTATTCTATCAATTTTGATCGCTACCGTAGTTGTTTATTTCTGAACTATAAACTTTTATTCCAGTACTTCTGTGATAATATTAATATTTGTAACACAGTTAGCATAAGAGACAAAAACATAAAGAAATCTTACTGACCCCAAACCTTTGAACGATAGTGTATTATATGAATAAAAAACATCTATTTCAGTTTTATTCAACTGTGTTTTTTTTTTAGTTCATGGTTGTAATGCAAACGAATGGTTATTGGCTATTTAAAAAGGGACACGCCCTTCACTATGCCCCACCCAAACTTCCTGTTTTGCATCAACACAGGAAAACCATGCGTAACAAGGCTTTTCATGGGGTCTTTAAAAAGCATAGTAAAACTTCACCCTCATCTCTCATGCTTCATAGAAATCAGTCTCTCATTCTTTGAATAATCTCAGACACGTTGTTTATCAGAAAAAGTTCGGCTTAGAGATGCGGTGAGAGAGAGAGATCATGAAAGAAGTGAACAGAGGAGAGAGAAAATAAATGCCACACCTTCCCTGGGAACGGGTATGTTGACAGAACATTTTTCCTACCCATTGTTCTGCACTTTCCCAAGCCTTGTGTAAGACTTCCGGTCAGGACCCATCCACACCAAAGCATTGCCAAAGGACACTTTGTGGCGATCAGTTTAGTTTGGCTGATTTAAATGTTGAAGGTTTTCTTTGACAGTAGAGGATGGAGGAAACCTTGCGCAAACACAAGGAAGCCCTCAAAACTCAGGTTAATCATAGGGAACCTTTTATAAATATTCTGCATGGGGGAAAAAAACATCAATAGCGGCTTAACCTTTATGAACCTTAAAAAGCGGAGATTACAACATCCTCACTTCTTTCACTACTCCAAGCCTCCAAGAATACAATTTCAAACAATTAATTAGACCTCTCAGAAAAGGCTGACAGTCAGAAATGCTTATGATGCTTTTAGGTCAGCTAAACAAAACATGACCTTCTTTTATAGACTGTCAGCCTGATGTGGACGGGCAGGTGCACCACACTGATAATTAAAGAATAACAGTCTCCTCCCTTACCTCCCTCTTGAGTCAGAGACGCACTTCATCTGTAATTGTGTCACTGTTTGTCATTTCAGCAAAGCAGCTGACAGAAATGTTGAGTGGCACAGATGCTGCGCTTCCCAGAGCTCTTTGCAGAATTTTCTGCCACTGTAACAAATCTCCCCCTACACATGTGGTCAGGTCCTAGCCATCGCTGTCAGCAAAACGTTGTTTTTTGGATCATTATCTTTAAGTCATAAACATACAGCTTATCAGATTAGCAGCTGATACACATTCAAATATAAATGTTTATGAGAATTCCAATATAACAGTATTTTTTTTTCTCCAATATTTTTTTGTTAATTTAGATGAGTAGGCCTATGTCAGAAAGGGTCAGAAAGTGTACCATAAATTGATTTTTTTTTTTTTTTTACGATTTGAAAAACAGTAATCCCTTAAGAAATTAAAAATGGTAAAGGGGCAATTGTTTTCCCCTAATACATACACGTTTCTGACACTTTTTGGCTCATTAATGAAAGTTAGTGTGAACTAAATGTTTAAGTCGGACTCGGAAGTCTGGAAACTGATTAAATTCGTTTAAGTCACTATGACGTTATTGGGAATTAGAACATTGAATGAATTTAAAACATTTATTAATACGTTCTAAAACAACGAACAGTTTATATTCAAAAGAGGTGTTTGAATAAACAACCGTTAATGAGCCTAGATATCGCGTTATATTAATTTGGCTAATTATTGTTTAAGTTAATTAATATTCAAACACCATCCTTAACGTTAATGAACGTAAACTCACCTAATACAATGATTGTCCAAGTGATTGCCATTTTCAGTCCGTCAGTTTGATGCTCGTCGCTCCGCGTTCACTGACTTCAGAAAAAGTTTTGCATGGAAATGTGGAGAGACCCCGATCGGTTCCGCTTGTCGTCTTGAGTTTCTATCTGAACTTTTTTGTGCAGCTGGTATTTTTTCTATCTTAAAGCCAAGAGGAGTGCTTTTGTTTGCGCTGCTGCTTCTCTGCGGCTCTACCCCACCCTGAGGGTCCGGGGATTTGGGGGGTAAAGTTTTGGTGGGTTTCCTTGGCTGCGCGGATTGTGATGTATTGAAGTCGTCTGGAGTGACGTGCTGTGCTGTGCTCGCGCTGCTGCTGCTGTCACGCGTGCACAGAGGATCTGTATGAGATGTATCAGCTCATGCGGGGGGACTCAATAGAGAGGGCTGGGTTGGACTCAGGCACAAGACTAGCCCATGAATAACACTGTCCATAGTAATGTCTAAGATCAGACATGCCACTCCTTTAAGTGCTGATGTATCTTTAATTTTTTTTATCTTTTCTGCGTTTTTAAATATTGTTTTTTAACATTTATGGGTGTGGCACAATATATTAAATTCACATTTATTTGTATAGCTCTTTTCACAATTCATATCGTTTCAAAGCATGCAGCTTTACAGAAAATGCATGTATTACAATTTAGAGTGATCTTTTATCAGAGGTGACTGTGTCAAGTCATGTATTTCAGAAATTCACATACAAATCACGCAGTTAGCTAACATTGTATTAAATTAAGGCAGAAATAGTGAGCTCATTAAAGTAAAATATATTCTCTCTCTCTCTCTCTCTCTCTCTCTCTCTCTCTCTCTCTCTATATATATATATATATATATATATATATATATATATAGTGTATATACTAATTGTATATTGAAATAAATTTCTAATGTAACATTACTAATAATATTACTATTAATTATATAAAACAAATATTTTGTGCATGGGCTATAGACACAAGAATAATAATAGATTATTATAATTAGATTAATAAATAGATTATAAAAATAATAATATATATTTCAATCAATTGTATATTGCATATTATATTACTAATTTATTACTAATAGGTCTAATAATTACTTTTAATTACATTATTTGATATAAAATAATTTTTGTTGTTTAAATATTTTTTAATGTAATATTTAAATTTAATTCAATTTATTTGAATAATTTAAGACAATAACCAGGGAGTCACAAAATGCATAATTTTAATGTGTTGCTTTTCACTTACAGACTTTGTAATTTGTATTTTTTTCCCAGGATATTAGTTTGAGAATTTGCCTTGCATGTCAACAGGTGCAGACAGTATTTGGTGAAGTTCATCAACGTCAACGAATCATGGGTTATTGTAATCATGGGTTACAACGAATGGGTTAATTTGTCTGAGAAAGCTATGTGTAAGCGCAGCTGCTGTGGCGTTTGCTGTGAAGGCCAGATCTGACGCTGCCAGCACACACCACAGTCACCAAGCCAAAAACCATGACAACCAGACTTCAAAAGCTCCTGTTTTAGTCTGGGAAATTCATGTTTACTTTTAAGTGCCATAAAAGACAATACCTCCATTCAATTTTAGTTTCATGAACTGTGACCTTTTGTGACCTCCACTCATGGGCATCTACTTATGCTCCATTAAATATAGCATTAACTCAGTGTGGGCCCAGAGAAGCCCCTCTGTTACAAGCAGTCGATAGGAAACGTTAGATCAGAGCGGTGACAAAGCTCCCGTCATGCCATGTGTGATTGTTATGAATGGTAGAGGGGAAATGTTTTGGGTGCTGTACAAAGGGAGATAAACATATGGGTGTTGGTCATACTTCCTGGGCGTCTCTTTCTGTCCTGAAATAGATGCCAAGATAGGCTGTTTGCTCTTAACACTTTTAGCACGAAACTTTTGGAGACTGAATCCATTGTTATGTGGAGAAGCAAAATTGTTTTAAATTGACAAGACACTTCTGTTCTTTATCTTACGGTTTAGCTGAGATGTGAGCCGTGGGTGTGTTATCGAGTGTAAATGCTCCACGATTCTCACAACTGTGTCGTAATGCCAGCAGCTGAGCAAAGGAATGAGGTGTTTACATTGGTATTGCTTTGGAAGTCCAGACGTTTTTTATTTTATCTTTGCATAGACTTTTGACGGGTAATTGCTCCGAGTTTTCCAGTGATTTTACCATTCAATGTTAATGGTTCAGTTCAATTTCAGATCATTTTGGTTGGAAAAGTGAACCTCACAGGACAATAGAATATTAATACTCCACTCAGTCTCACACACATCCAGCTCTATCTTGTAATGTAAAGCATTTTGTAGAACTAGAGAACTTTGTTGAGCTAGATTTTCGAGGGAGCCCTTCTGACACACTCCGCAGAGCGGCGAGTGACGGAGCGCATGCTAAACAGCTCGGGGGTCGCAAGGCTGGAGGTTGGTGCTCTCACGTCTGGCTTCACGCCTCCCATCCATCGTTAGCGAGAGGTTTGTCACAGGGAGAGCGCGCGCTCACCCTGCCTCATTAAAGAGCCACAATGGTAAGAGCATTCCAAGAATGCGGGCGCTCATTCACTCTCCCTCTTTAGATGCGATGAGACTGCGTGCCAAGCACTGACAAGGCAGGGGAAAGCCTCCCTCATGATGAATACGATTTCTAAAGCTTTTTTATTGAATTTATCTTGAGATTTATGGCATGTGTTCTTCAGATATGTGGAAAGTGTGTACTGTGCACTGTAGATGTTTTTAGACAGACAATTTAGAAGAAAAAAAACAAGTTGTTTTTGAGTTTAACAGGTGCAGTACCCATTTACTTTCGTAAAATAAAAACGGCCAGGATAGCTGCCTGCTAAATAACTTTGTGAACCATGGAGCAGGGAGAAATTAGTATTTCAATTATTTATTGCTTACTAAATTAAATCGGCAAACATTTAACTTTTTTATCTTCAAGACTTCATTCCCACATGGGAAAGTCTTCAGCAGAGTTTTCCTGGAGGGATGATTTGTGGTTTGTCAGTAAGTATAGATATGGTACAATGATAAATGGACAGACTGAACACACTTTCAGAGGCACAGGTGGTCAACGTGTATCTGTGTGTGCATTAAAAATCAAAGTTTAAAAGGCCAGAGGAGTACAGGCACATGACACAAGAATGCAGCAGATTCAAAACAGGGTTGAGATCTAAGACATTCTGCATGGTGTCTCTGAATGATCAAAATATTATTTGTATAATCTTGCCTGTTGCTTGAACTCTGTTTTACTGTGAGATAAATGCATGTGTGTGAGAGAGAGAATACCCTTGAAAGTGTGTGATTTAGGAGTTGACATGACACAGAACACTCTGCACCTCCTCATCGGAAGCCTGGTACCAACCGGAGTCAATCCCCGGGAGAGAAAAAAAAGCAGCTTGTATGTGTGAGAATGCTTTTGAACGAGTAACTCCTCCGAAGGTATGATCTAGTTTATTTTTCTCATCTCCTGCTGACAGTACCACTCTTCACAAATCCTTTGTTTATTTATAACTCTTTCTCCACTCCAAAGCACTTGTTTTTGTTCGACATGTTTAAAACCTCCTCGTTTCAAACAGACAGGCAGTCAGATCAGTGGTCTCTACTGCAGGAGCAAGTCTTGTAGTGTGTAAAGAAATGTCTTTTAGGTCCACCAGGTCTACTAGATCCTGCACAGCATGTAACTTTTTGATTATTGTGGAAACGTAAAAAAAGATATCTTGGTTATACATAGTTTAGAGGAGCATTAGACAGCTTACCTAGTGAAACTATATTTTTTAGATATTCTGAAGAAAGACGTTTGCTCTTTAAAAGTTGCTGCTAGGGTGTTGTAGGTTTTTGCTGGGTGTTTTCCAATTGGTCCAATTCGCCTTTGGCTAAGTCCCGCCCCCCTTAGTTACTGTTGCTACGTCGGATAAACAAACTTCATCTGGGCTCTGGTATCAACATGGCTGTGACAGCTCTTCCTGCTGAAATTTTATCAAACTTTTATAAAGCAGCAAATAAAGTGTCCGATAGAAGTAGTCAAAAGGGGCTGCAATACACGTTCGAAGGCTATATTCACAACATACAGGTGAAACGCAAGGAACAACAAGGCATCCAAATAGAGGCAAAAGCATACCGGTCACAGTCAAAAAATGAACCACCGCGTATCCTACTAATGGAGACGGAGGCTGGGACTAACAATATCTAGGAGCAACACTGTTCATGCAAAGCTGGGTAGGTCTCTATTCACTTCTATAATCGTTATTACAAAGCAAACGGACTACGCGAGTATAACATTGTATTTATTAGCAGCGTGTGCTAGACGACACTTGTCAGGATTTGACTTCGGTTTGGGAAGGGAAAAAAATGGACACCCCCCTCCAACCTCTCTGGGAAACGCGTATCTGTGTTACAAATGCCCCAGGCACAACGTTTAACCATATTTTTGATAAAACTACGACGGTAATAGCCTGCCGAGACCAAAAATATGAGACGCCTGTGTTAAAGTCAATGGAGCGCTGTGAAAAAGTGTCGGACCACTGTGGGAGCTCGTTCTTGGTTGCGCTGTGATTGGTCAATCTACATTCTAGGGTGTGGCTTAGCCAAAGGCGAATTGAAAAGAGCCAACCTGCAAATCTCTGTGATATTCTAGTCCATAGATATGCCTCCTTCAATGCAAGTCTATAGGGGGTTTTCACCTTTATCATCTGCCCAGCAAAAGTCATAATTTGATTAGTTGAAATCCTTAATATGAGCAATATTAATGATACATGCCTTAGAAAGAACCACTGATTATGAATGAGGCCCTTTGTATGGATGACTAGGAGTGCCATTAAAAAACAATAACTCTTATATCATTTATATCACATTTTTATATCATTTATATCACATTTTTATAAAGCATTCACAGATTACTTTTCTTTTTATCTGTTTGAGTGTAAAATGTATTATTTTTTTGTTACATTTGAGTAACATGAATACTTTTTTTTATTAAAATAACTCTTCATTTAATTTTTTTAAGCGGCACTCCAAGTCCTCCACAGCTTTGAGTCTAGACTAAAAAAAACTGACAATTTAACATAAATGTCCTTGAGTACATTTATATGTAAATGTATCTTGCATTATGCGACTAACAAAAGATTATTGATGGGATTTTAC